ATATGCATTTTATATTGCCCTTTAGTGGATGCATATACATTTTCAGTAACTGTGTGTCTCAAGCTAGTAAACTTTAATCCAACTCAAACTCAAAAGCAATGTGGGCCATACCTGCTAGAAGCAACATCAAATAGCAAAGTTTTGGAAGTCTGTGGAGTATTGGGAAATAAAAGATACAAAGCACACATGTGGATGCAGACAGCCAGGAAGAAAGCTAAAGGCATCTTGTTCCATTTCTTCAAATGTGATGATGGCACTTGGCTGTTAACTACTTTTGTGCCTAACACATACTCGTTATATCAGAGCTATTCCAGACTGGAGAAGTGTTCTGTTGGAAACAGGTACAAACCCCAACATGCAGCCTTTCCTCTAATCCCTGCAGGTGGACCTTGGTGCCCCGGCCATCCCTGCCAGGCTCCTGAGCTCCATGGCCAAGCAGCAGCCCCTGGTGATTGCTCAGCTGGCTCACCTGCTCACTGCTTAGTGCTGCAGCACCACTGAAGAGCCCCTGACAGCTCACAGGAACACACAGGTGTCTGAAAGGGCCATGGAAAATGCTCCTCCCGAGGCAGCCACCACCAAAGCCTCACTTCAGGAGCCTGGCTGCTACTGCTGGATTATGTGGGACACAGTGAGAGAAAAGGATCATTTGTTTTAGCCAACACTGCTTATAAGAAATGTAGTAAGTTTAGTTGGGAACTTCTCCTCCTGGAAAACAGTGGAAAACATCCATGTGTGCTGCTCTATAAAGAGAGCCTGCTTTACAATAGCCAGGATCTTAGAGTATATTACCTAACTCCTGTTTCCAAGCAGCTTCAGAGATCAACTTCTTTCTTTAAGTAAGTTTAGGCTGGAAGCAGTATCTGTATGGCTTGAGACCTTTTACAAGCTCTTGAGCAGAGCTGCAAAGCCATTTTCTAATGGTAAGTACCAAATGCAGACTTCCTGACTGTGTAGATAAATCAGATGTCTCAGCTGGCTGCTTGTTCCCTTCTCCTTGAAGAGGGAAGTCAAAGCAGCACAATACTCACTAGTCATCCTACAGCCTGGATAGATTTTTTCATGTATTTGCTGACTGCTTGCAGCCAGTGTAAGGTGTTTCAGATTGCCACTACACTATGCAGCATCAGTGGACACCACCATACCTCAGGACACAGTTTTACTGTACTGCAGAATCAGGTGCTTTGAAACAAAGAAACCAAATCGTTCTACACAGCGACACTGTCGTGGATAGGTTAATACTCAGTAATCAGCTTGTTTCTAGACTCTAAATCCTGCAAGTAAGAATAGCTCCAGCATTTTTCCATAATGGCTTTTTCCATCAGCCCTTCTACACTTTCACCCAAATGCATTAGGAGCTGAAAATATAGCCTGGTCATAGTCTTACCACATTTCTTTGTTCATAATGTGACCAGCTGTCTCACTGCAGCAAATACAGACTCTTCTCATTCAATGACCTCATGGGACTTCCGTGGCACTTACTCCAACAATCCTGCTGTCAGGCTTTACATGATTGTTCAACATAGTCCCTACCTAGCTGGTTCACATATTCCTAAATTTAAACAAAACCACAACCACCTGAAATATCCAAATAACTTCATTTAATTCTTCAGCACAACAGTACAGAATCACTTTAGATATATCTAAGCAATAAAAACTGCTATGTTATGCTTTCATTAGCTCAAAAAACCCACATTGTTCAAGAAGCTCTTGCACTTTGAATTTGTCAAGTGAGAAATGTGTACTCAAGCATCCACCCTACTGCAGTCAGTGCCTGCTATTTTAACACTCTTACTTTCAGTACAAGGTGCATTTTCCCAGCACATGGTGAAGTTAGCTGCACTTCCCACCTTTGAGTTCAAGAGCCAAGATCTACTTTTATCTTTGCACAGGTGTAATTTTGGCTCTCAGCTTCTATGTTACTAATATAGTGAGTTTTAAGTAAAAAGACAATAGCTATCTTAAATTCATACTTAAGAAAATAGCAGTTTTGATACATACCCACCCAAGGCTTCCTCCTCAAACTAGATCAGGGAGGAAAACAAAACCTTTCATTTACAAATTTGCTTTGTTTCATCTTTGGGTTGTCATGGTTACAATTTTAGCACCACTCTATTAGCGTTCTTTTTTTGGTGAGTCACAGCATGGTTCACTTTGAGCATCATAGCTCTTACACTGCCCCTCAAGGAAGAATGGGTAACCTGTCACAGAGTTTTCTGCAACTGAGCAAAATGACTGATTTCCAGATTTGCAATGTCCTCTGAAGGAAGAGCAAAAAAGGCAGTACAGTAAAGCCCCAGGAAAAATTAGCAGAATCAGCAGCATGGGATATTGGCTCTGTCCCCAGTGCTGCTTCTATATTTTTCCAGAAGAGGTAGGGGAGGTCTTCATACAACCCACTACAGATTTGCTCAGTGCTTTGCTTTTTTTCCCTTTTATTTTGGACACGGCACTAGTGATAAAGCAGTTTTTGTAGGAAAAACATCTCGGGGGATTCCTGCTGATCAACGATGCCAGTGCCTATGAAGGATAGTGTCTTATTGTACAGTGCATCAGATGTTTATTTTTATATATACTTAATATTTTTTTTCTACGTTTACAAATTAAGTTATTTATATATGCTTGGTTTGAAGCGTTTTTATATGCTATCAAAGCTAAGTTTTATTTTTATCAGTCTTGAATTAATGTAACTTTTTTTTAATACAATCTTCAATTGATACTAAAAGCCTATTTATATGAATGTTTTCTTTTGCAAATACAACATTTTATGGTACTTGCTAATGTATGGCATTGGTTTGTTTAGAAGGAGGAAACAAAGGCCCAGCAGATATCAAATTTGGTAATCTACAACAGGCAAAAAACAACTTCCTGTTAAGTTACTGCTGAGCAGCAGATGATCAAACCAATTGTATTGTACCACCCAGGGTTGCATCTCTGCTCCTAAATCAAGGTTGCTATTTTCATATCCACAATAAATGGTATTTTCTACACAAGAAAATGTGCCCCACCTTATTTTGCTCCAGCTAAGATACCCATCTGTGGAACTAGGCTGGATAGAAAAACAACACAGAAGCAAGTTTGTGATAACAGACGTGGGACTCCTACTTACCTGCTGAGGAATGGTCAGTCACTGCTTAAATTTGGGTTCTGTGACACTGCTTTCTCCAAGCAAAGGGGGTTTTGTTTGGTCATTAAAAAAAAAAAAAAAAAAAAAGGCAGTTGGGTGGAGCGTCTTCCCAAGCCCTGTTACACATCTCCCCAGACCAGCACATTTAGAAGGAAGTTAATGTTACTCTGTTTTTCCTAATTCTCTTTTGAGACCTGTGAGTTTACAATAGGAAAGACTGGCAGAAGAAAGGCCACACCCTCAGAGCTGTGGGCTCCTGCTTTCCTGCCTGCAGCACCTCTGGCACAGCAGCAATGCCCAGGACAGAGGGACAATGCCCGAGGGACTCGCTCTGAGAGAAGGCCACCAGCCCAGGGGGCTGCAGGGTCCTCACACGTGGTCCCACAGCCAAGTGGCCACAGGCAGAAAACCTGTGCTCCACAAGTGCCCTTGTGCTTTGGATAGGGAGTGGGGCTGTCTGGTTTTACAGAGAAAACGTGCCTGGGATGCCCAAGAACCAGCATTAAGTCATCAGAACACAAAACCAGATGTGTTTCTTACCTGCTGGGCCCCACTGCAGAAGTGTCTTCTACCCCACAGGGCACAGCTGTGTTCTCTGGTTGCTGGAAACTGCTCCTGAGGCTTGGTCATCTTTTAAATAAAAACTTCCAAATATGTTGTATTAGAGAAGGAAAATTCCAGTACACCGAGTTCATAAAAATGGCTGTGGCCATATCTATGCCAACACTTTTATGATACCCAAATAAAATCCATGCCAGAACCAGGAGCACCTTTTCTTTCAACTCTTATGGATTTCAGCTTCTTCCCCTTCCACCACCCTGCCCTCCCTTACACAACAAAGTAGATTTCTATTTCAGCAGAAGCTCGACAGGCCAGACAGGAGGTCTGTACTGCACTTTCTCTGCCCCATGCTTTGTGGCAAGGTACCTGTTTGTTTTGTTCTTCAGCCTAGTACCAAGAGGTTCTATACTGACAGCTTGAACACAAGACAAAACATTTAATAATGTTTATTATGACAACAATTTCAAATGAGATCTGCAGCAAAACACCACATAATACTCAGCCTCAGGGAGCAGGTATGGCATGATATGGTGTACTTGCCCTTCAATTTGTATTGAGTCGTTCCATTTGTATTGCAGCATGCCTACTTTTGGGGACTCTTTCATTCACATCAGAAAAACCCTAAAAAGAGGAACGCAGGTGCAACCTGCCATATTTTTCAATACAGTGCTTAGTAAACAAGAAAAATTACAATATAGTTCAGACACTAATGTGTCTCTATGATTTCTCTTTCTCTATTACATATTTTAACAGAAGCCACAGTTCTACCTAATGAACTGTAGTAGTTCTGTAGTAGTACTACCTAATGTAGTAGTAGTCCTGTCTGCAGTTTTTCTTGAATCCCTAACTCCAAGATGTTACCTTTTCTCACCTTAAACAGGGAGCAGGTTAGTTATTTAGCAAGCTAAAGAGCCCTGGGCTTCACCTTGTCCAGAGGCTGTTCTTACATAACACAGAACTTGCTTTCTGGAAAAACCTACACTAATAGGACACTCTAGGACAAGAGGAAATAATGTCCTCACTGCTTTGGGGCAGGGGCAGGCAATCCCATGAGACAGCTGATGAGCACCTAAACATATTGTGCTACTCACCAGCAGTCCCTGCCCCAAACCTCAGTTCAAGGAAATACTTGGGGAGAAGGGAGTGAACAGGAGGTCATACTCTCGGTGACAATCTGTCTGTAAGGGCAGAAAATGCCCACTGTCCTCCAAGAAACAGGCCCCCTTCAAAACCCACTCTCCAGGGAACATCACAGTGCTTCTTCACTACTTTGCCTGTCTCTTCCTGACTGGTAAAACTCAAACTCAAGGCAAGAAAAATGATAAAAAAAACAATGAATAGCAGCCAGATGCCATTTATGTTCACAACTATAAAAGTGTCTTAAAAATACTGTCTTCAGTAAAAAATATAAACAGATATATTATCCCTTATTTCTATTAAAAGCCCTGGGAAATTACAAGTTCTCTTTCCAAGAGATGGAAAAACACTTAAGCATCTACATCCTTTAGGAAAAATGCCATCAATGGTTTAGTGGATTTATTTAATATGGTTCAATTTTTAAAATTTGTCTTAAAAAATTAAAATCAAACCTTCCACACTGAGCTTACAATGAAAAATAAATATAGGCACATCTCTGTGTCATATTGGTTCACCTCTTCCTTGCCCTGACTGTAGAGGCTTTGTTAAGGGACAACATGAGAAGTCACATTGAGTTAAGACACAGCCACCAAGAAACCATCCCTCTGATCACAAAGTAACTTGAGTTGATTCCTGGGTTTGGTCACAGCCTGGTGCTGCACAAATACAAAAAGAGTCTCTGAGTCCAAAGAACAGCTGCTCTGAGATACAATCAAGGTGCTTAAAAAAGACTTTTGACTTGGAGATCCATTTGCTGATGTAAATCCTTCAGCAGAGTCACCACAGCAAAATGTCCATGACAGAAAGCTCAGTGCAGGTTTTGCACAAAGTGACCTCTTATCTTCAGTGTGCTCCCAGCAAAGAGCTCCCAATCCTTTCAGAAACTCTGAAAATTCCATTTGCATCTTCATTAGTAATGTTTGTCCACAGAGTCCACCTCTGCTAACTCTGTGTGGTCACAGTAGCTAGAGATTGTCTGGTCAGCTCACAAGGGTTAGCCCTGGGCTCCTCTGTCTGATGCTCTGACACAAATACTCGGGACAGCCTTTTCAGCTCTTTCACAAAATCCTGTAACAAACACATACACACCAGAGAACCCTTAGTAACGTAAACAAAAGAGGCTGATTTAATTTTTCCATAAAAAACTTTACAAGGTTAAACATGTTGATGGTTTTCCAGTGCAAATAAACCTAGATGAACTACAAAATTGACTGCAATGATGAAGGCCTGCAGAAATGCTCAGTTTCCCCTCTGATCCCCACACCCTTCCCAGATAAGATCGTTGCCACAATTTAAATGGTTAAAACAGCTCCAATACGCAAATGCTCACCAGCCTTGGAATAAAAATGGACACATTTTTAGCAAGGCATTTGATGGATTCCTGCATTTTGACTGTGGCCAGAACTGTGAGACTCCTCTAGAACATTCCAACTGCTCTCACACTCTGGTGGTAGGAGGCACAGGGATTTAAGTGCAGGACTGGTCAGTAAAGACCTTTCCCAACAAGGCAGCAAGCACATTCTGGCTAGAACTGAGAGCTGGTAACTGAGCCAGCTGGTCTCCAAACTGGTTTACAGTTTCCTTGGAAATGTTTCCACTGCATGGGCAATGTTGGATTCACACAAAGTACAGCTTTCAGCCAAACACTAGCAACAGAAATAAGCTTGTTGGAAACCAGTCCTTCCTTTGTATTAAGCAAGAACAACAGATGGGAAGGTTATGGGCCTTATCTATATGAAACAGAAATACAAGGATTGTCTGTTTATATAGCTTTACTTTTTATTTCACTTATTGTTCATGCATATCTAATTACTTACTGAAGGCCAAGGGAACTCTTCAAGACTATGCAGGCAAGTCTGGATTTCACTAGTTCTCATTAATTCATGTTCTATAAGACCACGAAGCAAGAAAAGGAACAAATCCCACTGCACAAGAGAAGAAAATATCAACAACTCAAAAAGAAATGGATTGTGTGCTTGTTTCTTTATCCATGTATAATTCACACTTTTCTTTTTGGATCAGAACATGGAGAAAAGGAGCAAGCACATTATCTATCTGCGTGTGACAATGAGGACAAGAACAACATCCAAAATGAGTGAACAGAATTCCTTTAGTTGTATTGTATTGATTATTGATTGTATCCTATCATGAAGCCTCAAAATTCTGAGTTTATAAACACACCAAGAATTTACTTCCTGCCTGATCAAGAACAGCAGTGAAAAATTATTTCTTTGACTTCTGAAATAAGCTGGGTTTAGCCTGCAACTAAACAGGGTGATTTGCAGCTTTCATTGGGGTGTTTGTAACACCAACACACACGCAGAAATGCAAGCTGGTAAAAGACACAAGAATGCAACCAATGACAGTCACTGTGTCCAGTCCTTGCAATATCCCAAACAGGCCACCTTGCCATTGGCTCCTAACCAAAACTGCCATCCCAAGAGCCCCCCAGGCAGGTACCAACCCCTGAGAAGCTGTATACACATCCCTCTCTTCACTGCCCTGCAGAAACAAGGCCAGCCAGCAGCCACCAAACCCTGCTGGCCACAGCCACACGAGCCACAGTGAGCACTGCAGGCTGGCAGAATTCCTCCAGCAGTAGTCACAGGAGCCACAGTGAGCACTGCAGGCTGGCAGAATTCCTCCACGAGTGCCAGCCTGCTCCACACATGGCAATGAGCCTCACCTCTCGCTGCTTGGCTTCTGCGAGATAACTGATGTTCTTCTTGCTGAAGAGCAGCTGCACAGGCACAGATGTCCCAAAGTCCTCCTTCCAGATGGAGAAGAGCAGCTTTAAAAGGCCAGAGGTGGGATTGTTCTTTACATGCAGCCTCTCAGGGCTCTTCTCTGGGGATTTGATCCCAAGACTCAGAGGAACACGATCTGAAACTAAGAAAAGGATGAGAAATGAGCTCCTGTAGCTGCATTACTTCCTCTTACAGTCATCGTCTTGGTTCAGCAGCACATGTAGGGATACAAACCAGTGAACCTAAGAGGACTGGAGTTTGGAAATACAGAAAATTATGAGCTTTGAAACTATACAGACAGTATGACACAGGGAGAGATTTATATCTCAGAAAAAGAACGCCAGTTGGTTGGAATGCAGCCCTGAAGGTCAGCCTAACATTTAGTCAAAGAGAACCTTGGTGTCACTGCAAAGGAGAGAAAAGTAACACAGTTAAATATTAAAGTCTATAGACAGACTGAACAGCTGCCCATAGTTTAGTCTATAGGCAGAGTTACATGACTTCACACAAGTGAAAGTAAATTGAACAATGCTTAACTGCAGATGAACACAAACAGAAGGAAGATACCAGTCTTTCCTTGGTACAGTCTAATGGAATGGGACAGGTTGACACTGCTGCTCCCAGAATAAATTTCAAAATATTCAGATGTGACCTGCATTCTGAAAAACAAATTATGTATAAAACTTCTAAAGCTGGTTCTAAACCCACAAAATTAGAAGGTTGTCCATGAAGAAAACTCTTGCATTGAGATCACAAGCTCCTGCTCAGAGAAAAATTGAGCAAGAGAACATCAGAGCAAGAGAAAAAATACAAATTGAGAATGTTCACAGGAGTCATAATACACAGAAAACAAGGTACTTCCATTCATTCCATAAAAAAGCCATAAAAACATAATTTAATGGAAAAGGCTCTTACTTTTAGGAAAAAAAGCCCAAACTCAACCCCAATTTTTCAGAGGCAGAAATACTGGAAAACACCCATATTTAACTGAAGGTGTCAATAAATGAAAAACAAAAGAGATGTGAAACAGATCAGAGGGATGGTTAGTCACTGTACAATTCTGTTTTGTAGAATGTAAGGAGGAATAAGAGCAACCACATAAATTGACAGAAAAAAAATCTGCAGACTCAGCAACACCAAAGAGAATTAAATATCCATGAGCTCTAAACACTTAAATCTCTGACCTCAAGGGTCCAAGAGAACTATAATAACAGATTTCAGTCTTAAATAACTTATCATAACTCACTTACCCAGCAAAGATGCCAACTCAACTGTGCACTTGGCCAGCTGCTGCTCTGCTGTGGGACACATGAACTGGAAAACACCAAAAAAAGTTGTATTTTTCCCCCCCATACAGCAGACTGGACAAAACATGGCTTCACAAGGGATAAAAAATATCTGAGAAGAGCAGGAAATTTACAATAAGAAGCACAAAGCTGTAACGAGGAGAGCACTAAAGACTGAAAGACAAAAAGGTCATATGTAAAAAGGGGATTCACAAAGGCAAACTGAAGTAACAAGCAGATCTACACAGTATAAAAAAATGCAGTGCAACATTGCCACATTTCAGCTCAAATAAAAACCCCTCGACTGAACTCAACTGTGAGGCAAGGCAAATTAGAAAGTCTACAGGTATCAAGACAGCCCAAAATGACTCAAAGGGGGGTTTTGTTGCTTTTTTACATCTTTTACCTTTCTGCATCGAAGTGTCTGACTCAACCTTCCCAGCAAGCACTCCAGCCACACGCAGTCAACCACTTCACCCTCCTCCCGTGGGCCCACAGCAACACAGAGCACATACTTGAAGAGAAAGACAACAGGAACACACACATCAGTATCCTGCTCTTCCACAAACAGGTCCTTGGACCTGTGACAGAGCAGTTCATAAATAGTTCTTGAGTCCTCATTAAAACCAGAACCTAAGTTAGTACATACATCTAATAAGACAGATTGAAGCTGACTTTTTTCAACTTTACCAAGATCTCATTTTCTAGCACAGGTGTCACTAATGTTATTAAGTAAAATTCAATGATGGCAACAAATTCATCTTCCTTAAAAGTATTAGCACTGAAAGCTCTAAATAAATTCAACAGCACAGCAAGCAAGTTTAGGGTGGATGTGCTACAGAAATCCAGAGCCCTCTTATATTGTCAAGGAAGCTTCAGTGCCAACCCAGAGGTTGCCTCACACAACTTACCCTCTTTTTTCTTATTTTAGCACAAGGAAGAAAGCATTAAAGAATGTGAGCTCATTTTCACACAACTGCTGGGGAAGCAATGACAGTGATAACCAGCATTACTCATCTGCCAAGCAGACAAGCAGCTGCAAAAAACATAGGCAGAATACATAATGGTAAAAAATGAGGTTCAGAATTCTTTTCCTTATGGGATACATAGGTTAAATGATTGCAAAATTCTACACAATACCATCGTGTCCACACTGTGGTTTCCATCCTACTCATATCAAGAAGGCCACACCTGCCATGCTACCAGAAATCCTGTATTGAGACAGCACTCCTAACAGGGAACTCTGACCTAGACACAGCAAGAAGGGCTTGAAAAAAAGCTAAGAACTTTCCATCGTGCTTCCTAAACATTCCCCACAGCCACCTCCTCAGAACCAGATTCTCTTAAAAAAACCCAAACAAACAAAACCCCACAAAACAACAATAAAAACAAACCACAAAAACACCAATGTGGAAAACAGAAAGGCAAGCCAGGAAGTGAATACTGTGTACCTTAATCTCATTGATCATCTGGGAGGGAAATGGAGCACAGTGCTGACAGCCTGGAGGACAGTCCCTTCTCAACTCCAGAGCATCCTCACCTGGCAAGGGAAATCCTGGGACTTTCAGCATTCTGTTGAAGGTTGCCTTCACTTCCCTTTTGATGAGTGCTACAGAGAACAGAGAACAAATCCTGTCTGCTTCAGTTTTTGTCCCCACTGAAGCAGAGAATCATTTCCAAACAGTCCTAGCCTCTCATTCCAAGGGCCACAGTGAATAAGGAAAAAAGACAGTTTACACTTTCAACCCCCTCTCTTTGACCTCTCACTATATTTGATGTGCAGAGACACAGGTGGAGAGGGTGTGCTAACCCACAGTTTTAGAATGCAGGCAACCATCACTGCCAGGTACCACTGGCAACTCATCTCACTTCCCATAAAAATATTTCCAAGGGTTTAACACAGTAGCTAAGCCAGAAGTCAATGCCAAAGCAGAAAGCTGATCCAGTGTGATCATACCAGTTCAACCACTGTGCCCATGAAAGCCATATGTCTTCTATCAAAATACATTTTGATCAGTATCTGAAATACTAAACTCCTGTGGCTGCAAATGGTACTTGGACATTCCTCCCCAGGCTTTTTGCAGAACCCCTTGAAGAAATGGGTTTTCAGAGACTCTGAAGAATTGCCAGAGCAGTATTACAGAATAAAAGGACTGCATTTGCCTTCAGCCTACAGAAAATGCACCCAGTCCCAGAAGTGTTTGTTTTACAGGAGATTTCAGAAGCACTCTGTACATGTGAACCATAAGGTGGTTTGAGAGAGCAATTGTCTGTATACACTGGAAGTGCTAAGACAACTTCAGCCTAGATGACATTTCCAGAACAATTTCCACAGCATTTACTCTCACCATCCTACAAGACTCCATAACTAAAAATCAGTACCATGGGCAAAGCCCAAAATATCTCCAAAGAGGGTTCTTAGAGCTAGAAATCATTCCTATTATTCCTAAGCAAGGAGGGAGAGAGCAACTGCATACTTTCCACTAAAAGAAAAACCAGTAGGACCTAGTACTTAATAACTGTAATCAACTGTACTTAATCAACTTAATCAACTGTCCCTTGATCTCAAGCAAAGAGTACAATGCCCAGGTTAGAAGCCTCAGTTCAAGGTCAAAAGACTCACCTGCAATGTTGGCAGAGAGCCAGCCACAGGCTTTCTCAGTAGCCAGTTTCACCGCAATGCTTTCTGCACTACTTAAAACCTTTACAGGGACGATAACAAATGACAGGAGATTTACTGTCAGCCACAGCACTGCAGTCAGTGAAAATTCAGAAGGAAGTCTAGAGGAAAAAAGCTTAATTTTGGAATTCAACAATTAAACTGAGCATCACCATCTCTATGGAAACTGCTGGTTCGAGCAATACAACTAACTGACCCGTTTTGGTTTTCCAAACCTCATCAACTTTTGTGGAAGCTGACACTAAAACAAATGCATTATCGTTGCAAAATAAATGCAATTTATATAACATTCTAGCCTCATTAGTCAGCTATGAGCTGGAGTATCACTTTACCCAGAATATGCAAGGCAGCCCAGTAGCAGTGACTCTCCTTAGCTATCTCTCAGTCCTCTCATGAGACCATCAATAGGTTCACTTGACCTGAGCTATTAAGAGATAAGTGAAGCAGCAATGGAAAAAATGGCAATGATCCAGACTTAAAGTCAAGGCTTTTAATAAGTTTTAGTGAAAATACATACTGCTGCAGATGTCTCTTCTGGCAACAACACCCTTACTGCCTCAGGACCTTTTTTTTCACAAAATCTGCAAGAAAAGGAAGAAAGTGTGCCACGGGATTAGTCTAAGTTCTTGGACAACACTCAGAGGTTCATTATGTAGCAATGAAATAAAGAAGACTAAAGAACAAGACAAGGAAAGGGTAATTACAAGCAACTCAGCTGCAATATCAATTTTCCAAAGAGGGGAAATACAATAGCTGCAGTGGAAGTCTGTTTGGAGCTGGATGCAGAAGAACACAGCACCTTTATTCCTTCTCACAAACACAGTATTAACTGGCTGGAGGCACAGCAGACACTCACCATAAGAAAAGCAGAGGGCATGGTTTATAATGACCAGAACCTGAGCATGATAGGCCAAGTTAAATTAGGCTTATAGATTCTGAAGTAAGAAGAGATGGTAAGGCACAAGTTTAAATAACTTTTCCTCCTTACTCTCTGCCTTTGATGAGTGCCTGGGCCCCTTCCTCATACAGATGAGTGCACACCTCTTCAAGCAGTTTGTCATGATCAAAATCCTCTTCCTTCACTTTATCTCGCAACATGGCTTCAGCCCTTTCAACTAGCTCTGCTACCAGTGTTGCCCTGCAACAAAACCAAGAGCAATCAGGCAGACTGAAATCAATACAAGAAACACTGCACACTAGCTGTACCCAGCTCTTCTCCCCAGTTTAGGGGGATACCCATCTCAAATGCAATAAGTCACTCTGCTAAAAATGAATTAATCGTGCTTTATTTAGTACTGTATCATCTCCTTGTTCTGTATATACAGAAGGAAACAGCAATGAAGACACCAAAATAGTACTAAGAGTCAGGAGTCAAAAGCCTTTAGGTTTTACTAAAAACTTATTTGGTTACAGGTCTCCTTTCTGGCAGCAATACCCTTGTATGCTTAATTGATGGTTCAGAAACTCATATTGATGGCTCAGAAGTTCAAAGGTATCAGCAGCAGGACACTACAACCACCATTCCTTAGGGAATAACATTTAATGTCTTCAGTAAGCTGGACAACAGAACAGTGCAAACTCTGAGCAAGCTCATGAGCTGAAGGGCAGGGCTGCCACACAGGAGGGCTGTGAAAAAGGGAGAAATGGGCTGGCTGTGCACCTATACAGGCTGGGGTCTACTGGCTACAGAGCAGCTCTGCAGAAAGCTGGATTCCCAGGGATTCCTAGAACACAAGGTAAGTGAGTCAGGAGTGTCCAAACAAAGCCAACCTTATACTGGGCTGACAATAGCAACAGTGCAGCCAGCAAGGCAAGGGAAGTTACTGCTTCCCTCATCACTGTGAGGCTGCATCTGGAGTACTGTGTCCAGCTTTGGGATCTCAGGACACAAAAGCCATTGACAATTTGAGTAACTGCAGGAGAAAAGAAAAAAATTATTAAAATAGCTGGGATGCTGGAACACACACCTACAAGGGGAAGTCAGTTTCACCTAGCCTGGAGACAAGAGAAAGCTGAAGGGAAAAGGAAAAGTTAGAGAGAAGACAGAAAAAGACTTCCAGAAAGAGCACTTCTAAAGATTGACAGAAATATGCACATGCTGGAACAATGGATATTCTGCCAGGATATAAGAAAACATTTTTCACAAAGCCTGGAAAAATTAAGCATTGGAACGTGATAGAAAGAGGTTGGCTGAATCCTCATTCTTAAGAGTTGGAAACTTGTCCAACTGGAAAAGGGGCCAATAAACCTAACCTGAAAGCTGGGCCGGCTTTGAGCAGGAGTTTGGATCAAGTGACCTCCAGACGTAATTTCTGATATGAGATTTTCCTAACATTAGCAAGAATGTTCTGAACAGGCTATAAAGCCTCAACACTGCACTACATTCACACACAAAGTGTCCTGAAAGTTGTATCCCCCTCCTCTCGACGTCCCTTCACAAATTCCCCTTTACAGCACCAGATGTTGCTGGTCACAGTCTTACACAGCCTTGGTGCTGTGCCACACAGCACACCCCCAGGGAAGCTTCTCTCCCCCACATATACATTTTAAAGGATCAAGTCTTTGCCTAATTATAACATCAAGTTATTTCTTAAGCCACAGAACAGGTGACCAGCACTTACTTGATGTGCTTTACACAGTTGGATCCCACCCTCTCTGCCACAAATTCCACTGTTCTCCGTAGGGAAGGAGGCTGGTTGTGGAAAAAGGCCTGTTCCAAATCTACCTGTTCAACAGAAAGCACTACAATTGATTAGAGCACTCCACTCAGATCCTCCCCTCACCAACACAGGAATGGACAGAACTACCCTCTGGAGATGTATTAAAAGACAATTTGCCTCCAGGAAACTTTCTGCTACTGTAGCATTCACCATCCCAGTTTCACTCCTTATTCCCTCCTAACCATTTAACCCAAACTCATTATCAGGGTTTCTGAAGCTACAAAAGATCTGTAAAGGGAATGGGAGAGTTCTGACAGTGTCTAGGAGTAGTGAGTCACCACACAGGACTTGTTTTGGGAAGAACGAGCCCTTTTAATTACAAGCTGGTAATCCTGTAGGCTCCTACACAGGTCCTTCCAGTGGAAAGCATGGCTACAATCTAACCAAAACAAAGTATGAGAAACATACCAATATTTTATGTTAAAGAAGAGGGAAACAGATAAGTAAGACTGACTAGTTGTTCCAACTGCAAGAATGTTTACTGAGGTTATCTGGATTTCAGCACCCACACTGTATCCCAGCCACATGACTGTAATAGAAAAACAGGGAATAAAGATACCTGACTGTTAAACACAATGTTTAACCTGCTGGCTAGGTCCATTCTTTCCCTGGCATTAAGAGACCCCTGTATAAGCCCCCACTCACACAAGGAAATTTCTCCCGCCCCTTTTCCCCTTGTGACTCCCTAATTTCATTACCTGCAGTTTCCGCTGTGTGACAGAAGCCTTGGGTGCTAAGGACTCTGCAGCTGTGGGAGTGATTTTCCTTATAAAACCACCATTTTTCCCTCCACTACCAGCCACAAAAGAGGCAAGTAGTTTACGCAGTTCACCTGTACAAGAAGACATGCAAAAGAAATCATCAACTTCATAAACAAGGAGGAAAAAAAAATCAATATCAAAACTCAAGAAAGAGAATTTCACTTTTCTAGTCCTGTTCCCAGGGCAGACTCAGCTTCTACAAAAGCAGAAGCTTCAGTAAAGCAGAGGGGGCATCCCACACACATAACTGACAGGGCACAACACGGCTCTGGAAAGAGGAAGCTTCTGAAAAGCCCCCTAGCACATGGGACTTGTTCAGAAGGATGAAGGAGCAATTATTTTTATGCATTCCTTTTTAGTATGGCAAGCAAAAACCCGTAAGGTCTACAAGGACAGCAAGGCAAGCAGTTACACAAAATTCCAAGAGTCAGGAGCAACCACAGGGGGAAAAGCTGAACAACCTATTCATCCCTAGAAGCTTTTGTGATGCAGGTTTAACACACAGTTTCCCTAACTAAGTACCAAGAAGAAGAGCACCATCTCCCCCATCTGGGACTCTACTGCCTACAGAATTTTACCACTGGTAGACAGATCCCATGAAAAAGCTATCTCAAACAATAACCTGACAAAACACCGGGGCACAAAAGGATTCTTCTGCTGCGTGGCAGCATAAATATGCTCAAGGACCAAGACATTCCTGGCAGTACAAACACCTCTGCCTACACCTAGGATGGAAAATTTGTGTTGTTACAATGCTTCCTTACAGCTTGTGAGGGCTGGCCTTCCTTGTCCCTCCAGATTCAAGCTCTGTGGATCAACTATCCTCACTAACCTCCCTCCCCCAGCTTCACCAGACACTATCCACAGCTGCAGGAGCTTCTGCAATGCAGCTTCTTATCAAGCTGCTTGCATGCACAACTGAGACCTCAAGGAGGAGGAGCAAGAAAGAAGTAAGTGAGAAGGAGTAAGAAAGATCCAAGGACTTACAGTACCAAACAACAAATATAAACAACTGACTAAATAAAAGTAAATACATACTAATATGTTTTATGTATATAGCAAAAGTAAGTAAAATACTCACCAAGATACGGACAGCAGGTATAAAGTAACTGCTGATCCACCAAGGGTACAAAGTCCTGGTGAGAAAATGAAGGAAATGCTGAAAGGATACAGCACAAAAGAAACAGTCTTCAAGTCAATCCCATACATGCAGTCACAGGCAGGTTTCAGGGCTATCTTTCCATGAAAACAATAGCTGGATTCCAAATACACAATAAAATGATGAACTTTGCAGCCCAAGTGTCCAGTCCAGCCCAGTATCACAGAATGAGCTGCTCTTCACTTTATTAGTGTAGCTCAGCCCTTGCCCCTAATCACTATCAAAGCCCAGCTGAAAGCAGGGTTAAAGAAGGGAACTAAGACTGTTGCTACAGCTTCTAGTCATAAGGGAGAAACCTTTCCATGGAGGAAAATAAACGAGGCACATCTGCTGTGCATTACACCTCCACAAGTGCCTTCATCCAGACTCACTGGAGAAACATCACCTCAGTATTGACACAGCACAGGCAGCACCATGGGAGGAACAGCAATTTCAGATCCACCAAGGCAATGGATCTTAGCACTGGAATGCTATATATCTCCTTGCATGTCTAGGAATTATCTGAAACATCACACATGCCATACCTCATCTCCTTTCCTGCTTGCTCATACTATTTTCAGTTCAGCCTTTATCATGACACTGGAAAACAAGTGAACTCACAAAAAACAACCTTGCTCTTACAGTCCCATCTTTCTATTTCTGTTCATCACTACTTTTGCTTATTTCTAGGAAGAGCTACAGTTCCATCAGCTCACCTTGCAGGAAAACAGCATCTGATCCTCCAGCATAACTTGGCACCTGTTCTGCAAATTATTGCAGCAGGTGAGATGGCTCCTGCCTGACAGAAAACCCAGAGCTGTAACACAGAGTTCACAACCCGTAACACAGATACAATTGAAGCACTTGGACAAACTGGGCATCACATCCACTGGTCTCCATATGCTCAGAGCAGCTGCCCTGAAGCCAAGCTCCTGATAAAATCTTACAGCTCCTGAGGGAGTGGAAGGTCCATCTTCCCCCACAGATTCAGAAGACTTGCCTCTGCACTAACTCACCAAAGCCTGAGCAGATGTCACAGTATCCATCACAAATCTCTCCTGCCTCTCGTCAGTAGTAAAAAACAACTCCTCAGGGACTGATGGAACCTGAAACAGAAAACCCAGCAGTTGCAACCCAAAAGGCAGCCAGTAACTTCCACCATTTCTGATAACAGGACAGTAAAATCTCACCACCCTGCCACCCATAAAAGAGAACCCCTAGTACTAAGGATCCTCTTGCCCTGAGGAGAACTTTCCATAAAATTAAAGACTTATTTTGATCACAGTAACAAAAGCCACACTCCTTACCCACCCCATAACAGCATCTTTCACATTTCCAACAGGCTCCTGCTAAAGTAGCTACCTTGCTTCCAGCTGGAGGCACAAAGAATTTTAAAAGTTCATCACACACCATCCCTCTATCAGACAATAAATGCCCCAGTAATTCAAAGCTGACAGCTAGCACACCATCTTTGTGACAAGAGCTTCCAGTTCTAAAAGGAATCAGCTGTCAATTTTCTTATCTGATTGCAGATTAGTAAGTACAGAATGTGTTTCAGATGCAATTACAATTACTAACAGAAAAAAATGTTTCTTCACACAATTCCACTAAAGGAAAATAATTCTCCACTAAAATACAGTTATTCTTTAAACCTCACACCAGTGTAAAAAACCCACAATAAAACAACAAACTACGGTATTGAATTATTTTAATTAATGTCAGTACTATTTTGTAATGAGTTCTGTGCACTGCTTTTTCTTCAGAGAAGAGTTACATGCACACAGGAGACTCTACCTGAAAAAGCCAACCCAGAACTGCAAGGATCAGTAGTTTGTTCAGGAAACTCATCTCCTTGTCTTCAGAAAGGACCATTAACCTGTCATGCAGCAGAAGCAGCAAGAGAGAGTGTCAGTTTTCAGCAGCTCAATTTTCATTAAGGAAAACATTCCCAAACCATTCACGTACCAATGACACTGCCTATCCCCATGAACACATTCCCTGCATGCCTGCTTAAACAGAGAGTAAGCTCTACTTTTTTGTATGTACCTGTATATAATCCTGTCTTAAGTTTACACTAGGCAAGCCATTCCCTAGAATGTGCTTCAAATTTTCCTCGTGTATATAGGAAAGAAAACTAGAAAATTATTTAGGCATTGGAAACCTTGGAGGTCTAAGGTCGAAATTCAAGTTGCAGCTTGAACGTCAATCCCAGCCATAGATGTAGAGTGATCAAGTGAGATTTAAAGATTTTATTTACTTAATAAAATACACATATTTGAATCAAGTATTAATCCCCAAGTTTAGGCTGTGTTCTCTTTGCAGTTTTATGTAAGATAAAAAGTACACGTGATTTGCACCACAAAAAAATAATAATCAAACATTCACTGAAAAGTTCTTTACAGATATAGTTTCCCAGGCTCTTACCTGTATACCTGCAGCAAGAGACCAAACACTTTCCTGTAATAATCAAGGAAAGGAGCAATATGATCCACAAGGGAAAGGTACTCCACAATCCATGGAATAGTGAGGATAGAACGCTGATCCCGAATAGATTGTCTCAGAAGCTTTAATATATCCAGTACAGGCAGGGTCTTAAAGGACAAGAGAAGTTAAACCAGCAGCTTGAAGTTATCTTTCAATACTTATAGAAAAAGAAAAACTTTAATCTATATCCTTACTTTTCTTTCTAGGATTTCATCTTCTGTACTGGTGACTTCTGGCTAATGAAAACACTTCTTCGCCCATGACCAGAGGAAAAACCAAATTACGACTGCAACCAAGGGTCCCACTGGGACTTTCAAAAGCAAGACTAAAAGCCTGGCTATGTACAAAGTGGAGTTGAGGTCTAATGCTTCCATTCAGTGACACACTGCTGGGAGATGGGGGTAAAACTAACACAACCAGTCCTGGTAGCTGGATTTTATGCTATAAATACAAGTTGTCTTAGCTGGGTGAAAGTTTTGGTATGACAGACTCAGATTAGCAGAAATAACAGAGAAGACTGAGCACCTTACCACTGGAGCATTGCTCCCACCTTTAGAGGTTACACAAAGTCTTTTTTCTTTTGTTCCCAACACCAGAATATGCAGCAGGGACACAGAACCATACATCTTCCCAAGAACCACTAGCTCACTTTGAAAGTGCATGACTACCCAAAATCCTGCTTGGGCTAGGAAAAGTGCCTGTCAAGCAAAAGGCAAAGCTCGGTTTCTTACCTGGTTTCTCAGAGCCAATGCAGAATCTTGCAAGTCTCTGGTTGGCTGCTCTGCAGTGCGATAGGGCAGGAAAACAAGAAACCCCAGGAACTTGGCCAGGAGTCGGAGACTCAAGAGGGCCACAGTGAAACGCTTCTTTTCATCCTAAAATGAGGAAAAACAAGCTGAAGCAGTGCTACTCCACACTGGCAAAGCAAATGTCTATGCTAAACTTCCACCCCCTTCATGTAAAAGGGGAGCTTCATCACTGATTTTAATAAAGGTAGGTCACCAAAACACATATTTATCAAGTATTTTAAATTGCTCTGTCTCCATTGCTTCACTACTTCACAAGAAGGAATTATTCAAGAACTTCCTAAAACAAGCAGTTGCTCAATCATATCTTCATGTTAAGAATTTTGGAGTCAATGAGAGGCAGAGCTGATTTCACATTGCCTCCTTTATAGCACTACCACTCTGCAAGCCTCCATGAACCTTTGGCTATTACTTTGCTAATAGACTAGAAGCTGTGACACCTCTGATATGTAGACTTGAGTGAAGAAACACCTGTAACCTATGAACAGGGATGACTACAAATTCAATGTAACTAAAATGTTTCTATATGGAAAAGTAACAAGGGACTTACTGCAATGGGGTGCCACAAATGGACTTGGTTATTTCATTGATCTAAACAGGTTATAACAACCTAAAGAGGAGGCTTCACTTTCACAACTATCGTGCACTCATGACAGTTCCATGAAGCACCCTGAAGCATGCAAGTAAGTGGCAAGGGGCTCGGACAAATAAGCAAATTGCAGAGTTATGACAAAACTAAATGAAGAAGCTCTTGTCCTGTAAATAAAGTGGTGGAAGCTCCAAGCAACTCACTATCAAGCCAGTAATTGTTTGACTACTGGAACAACTCAGAGAAATTCCTGACAGATGTGTTTGCACAAAGCAAGCCTACCTGTTCCTCCATATCTGTTTCCCCATCACTGTGCTCATGCTCCACCAGAGTAAGACCATTCAATTCAAGTATCTTCAGGCACAGACTATCCATCAGGTGCTGATTGAACTGGTAACTTCAGCAAAAGATGATGATGAGTCAGACTGGGCTGAAAACAGCAGTAAAACCTCAACTAACACACTGCAAAATTTTAAGCTCGTTTCATGAGTTGTGACAAGCATCAGCAGACATACAACGTAACAGACTGATAGACAAGGAAGCAAGAGAGAAGACTTTGGGCTGGCTGAACACCTTCATCTCCACTCTTGTACTTTTTCAGAGATGCTACATAACAAGTGCTCAGCATAAGGATGATTAAATTGATCTGCAAAAGGAGAATTCTATAAAATAAATGAATTTAAGATTAAAATCTCCCATAGATGACAATTCCCCCACGCAGTGAGTTGTAAAAAAAAAATCATTAAACAAAACCACAAACTTGGCTTCATCCTGTACACCTTGGCTTCATGCACTATCACACAAGAAGCATTTGTCCAGTCATGTGTCCTTGCTAGGTAGCACTGTATACCTTGGCACTAGGAAATACTGACAGCTCCAAGAAAATATTGTGGGTTTATAGAAGAAAAAATCACTACCATATAATCTAGTCCCAATCTTTCTGGATAACTCCCTGCTGCAAGAGAAACATGCTGGTGCTTCCACTGGGCCCACATCTCACAGAGCAAACAGCAAGCACAGGCTGCTCACCTTCCAGCACTGAGGATGAAGTCCCTGAAGAATTGCTGGCACCCTGGGAACGAAGGGGGTGGACAAGGCCCTCTGATGCTCTGAGGAACAACAAATCTTTCCTGCAGCCTCTTCAGACGGCTCAGATTATCAGAACCCAGCATATTAAGGACATCCTGGTCTGGAGTGTCTCCCCAGCTTGCACCACCACCAACAGGACCTTTGCACATCTGTAGGAAACAGAAAAAGTAGCAAGGTGGAATATTTGCAACAAGGCATCATCCACTTCATCTCTCACCCAGCATATTATCCCTTCCTCACAAGACTGCTTTTGGAGTAATCCAAGCATGATCTTTCCTGGTGCCCACATACAGAATAACTCTTCCCCATGCCCAAACATGCTACCCATCTTGGTCATAAACAGCCTAGAGGTCTTGTGAGACAGAATTCCAATCCTACACATCTAACTAGGGCATATCTAGCAGGCTACATGTGGATGTGTGGAGAGAATACCTATCACTCTCATGATCTTCATGAGCCACTCAGTAGGATCTTTAGCTCAGTCTCCAAGGCCCATTGTGCTGCACTATACATTCCCAGAGTGAGTTTTCCTGGAACTTCCAGAGAGTTAAATAAAATTTAAAAATTAATGCCCCACTGCCTCAAACACACAGATACAACTCAGGACTCAAAGAATTACACAACTGCAGAACTGTTTAGAAGGGGCCCCTTGGATCATCTAATCCAATCCTCTTGTTCAGTCAGGGTCAGCCTCCTGACCTGTCAGTGAACACTACTGAGAAAAATCTTGTTCCCTCTTCTTCATTCCCTCCCAGCAGGTACTTATAACAGTGCTAAGACAGCCTGGAGCCTCCCCTTCTCCATGCTGAATACTCCCAGCTCTCAGCTTCTTCTCATACAAAAAATGCTTAATCATTTACGCCTTCATCATTTATGTGGCCCTGAGCTGGTCTTGCTCTAATAAGTGTGTATCTTCCTTTCCTTGTGCTGGTGAGCCCAAGATTGGACATAACACTCCAGACATTACCTAGCAAATACTCAGCAACAGGAAAAGTTGACTGCATGTTCCTACATCTAAGTCACGATAGTTTTAATGAGATCATAATAAAAAGCAACATTCAAGAATGTCTATCAAGTGAACAAGTACTAGGTCTGTTTATTTCAAATAGAGCAGCCTTACTTCCCAAGGGAACAGCTTGCTACATTTCTCTACCTCTGAATTATCAGGCCTTGACACAAGTCCTCAGTCTCAGTTCATTTCTGCAAGAGTATCAATACACACAAGATTCTGCAAATCACTTTCCAGACAGACACATTGGATCCATTGCAGACACCCAGTTATCAGTGTAGATCCTTGGCTACCCTTGTGAGATCCTCCAGTCTTCATTAAGAAGGCACAGATACAAAGGAGAAACACAACACCTAAGTCTAATTAAATGCCATTGATGCAACAAAGTTAATCTTACCTCTTTCCCCACATTTGCCGTGAACACACCCATACAATCAGACAGGAGGCTGATGCAAACTCAGACGTGACACTAGAGGAATTTACAATGTTCCAACAGCTTGCAACTTTCTGGCAATGTGTGTGGCCTAACACTGAAGGTAATGTTTTGTGGCTGTTTTGGTCTCCAAAAGAAGCCCACCAGTAAGCCAGGCATTTACAGAGAATACAGTGAATCTTCTCTTTCTTCATTTCTTTATTTACAATGAAGTCAGATGATGCTTGAAATTGGCCAAACCCCTCTCGTCTAAATTACTCCAGCAACACTGTACCAAAATCAGCCTGTTGAGTGCTACACAGAAGAAACCAGAGATTTTTTGCACTCATGCTGCTAAACAAACATAACTGGGAACCTCTGCATTTAACAAACACCAAAATACATCCCTAAAATTTCCAGAAACTATAACGGTTCTAAAACTAGGTCAAAGTAAATAGCCATGAAGAATGAATGCTTACAGCTCATGACGTTCTCAGTGTGCCTTATTTCTGATTTAAAGAGATCTCATTGGTAATTTATCTGATTATTTCTGAAGAAGCAAAGAAATTCCCATCCTGAAAACCTGTCTCTCCCCAAAAAAGTTTCAACAGAAAAATCTCAAAGAAGCTTAAAGACATGGCTCGTTTCTCAGGCCAAGGAAAGACCAAACCAGCTTTGATGTATAGAGTCATTAAACAACCCAAGCCATTTACCTGGATAAGCTGTTTCTGAAAGAGCCTGGCAAAACGGCTGTGGTTGCAGGTTGCAGACAGGTGAGCCATCATGGCCCTGTGAAGGAAAACATTATCAAATTCTGACTGGAACTTTGTGGTGCAAAAAACAGTTTTCTAACCTCAAACAATACCAAAAGTATAAAACCCATACTTTTAAGAAAGCAATCTCCAAAGGCCATTGAAAAAAAGCAGTATCTTTATAACCCAGTTTCCCGAGCACTGTGCCCCACCTGCTGCTGACATGGAAACAAAAATTCTCCCTGAGCACCTGCAGAGTAAACACAGCTCCAGAGATAAAAAGAATCTCTTCCATTCCTTCAATAATGTCGTTATTTAGAAAAAAGAAGAAACTCATTCAGCTCCCACTCTTCCCTGCCCAGAACAGTAAGTTGAGAGTTCACACATATGGAAGGAAGGAAACAGCAATATTGCTACTTCTGATACCCCAAAATTTCTCAGCTTAAGCCTCAGCCTTGTTTTGCTCTTGTGGTGAAAAGCCACCTACATGCATGTTACTTGAGTAGGCTGGTGGTTGAGACTAACACAGAAACCCACAAGGCAACTGCTTTCAATGCTATAATAGTTTCTTTTTATATACTGCATTTTGATAAAGCAATAAATGAATAAAACAGTCTGCTTTCCACAGACAGAGACACAGCTGTCTTGTTTTCAGAGCCAATGCAGTAGGCCCCCTGAAATAATTAGAAGAGGTAACAGCTTCTGAACACATCACACACTTCTCCTCACTTGAGAGGAGTCAGACATGGGAAACATGACACACACACACGAGTGTATACAACAACAGTGTTCAGACAACAATACACTGGTTTTCAGAGTAGCTCTTTCTGTGATTTTTGAAAGGGAAAAAGCAACATCAAGACTGATCAAATCAGGCCCTTGCCACTTATGGCTTGTTTCTCTAAGACAACAGTTGGTACTTTTAAATTCAGAAGCAAGTGTACATGGGCAGTCTCCTCCAAGCAGCACACAGCCCCCCTACAGATCAGTGAAAAAGACCAGGCAGAACATGGAACTAAGGACCAGCAAATCAGCAATGTCAAAGAGCTAGCTGAAGTTGCATAAGAATCCTACCTGATCTTGTTGCCCAGAACCCTTTCAAAGTCCCAGCCAGTTTTCTCATGGTTATCCTCCCATTCACGCAGAAGTTCATAAAATATATCCCTGTGAATCAAGATATTTAAGGGAATTAATTCCTACTCTTCAAAATTTGAAGCAACAACTGAATATTAATTGCTCCAAAGCTCCCCAGCAAGAATCTACCTCAGATTAAATAACTCCAGCCTCCAAGCATTCAGATACCTTTGAAAAACTTATAAATGTTAGCAGTACTTCAGTGAGTTTCCATTTTCCATGTCTTTGACAGCAAATGCTTAAGCTTGTTATGCCCAGTCTATGACAGAATGACCAAAACAGCCATTACCAGTTAGACACAGTGAAGACTGAGAGGCAGGAAAGAATAAGCCACATGAAGTAATACCTATGAGAAAAAGAAAAGGACCAAGACAACTCATCATTCTGCCCTCACCCTGTGGCTGCAAGCATGGAGGGAGGCAGCAGGAAGAATAAAAGCATACCAGATTTATATGCAGAAGCAATCCAGTAGGGTGATGACACACTGTACTGGCATTATCAGAAGTCTCATTAACTCCTGAAGAATTAGGCTGCTCTTCTCTAAAGACATTAACGATTTAGCTCCTGCAGTCAATATGGACAAAGACTTTTTTTGCTTAATTAGAGCAAAAAATTTCAAGATATTTTTTTCTACAGTATGTAACATACATGAGACATAATTAATATCCTTTGTTCACAATCATGCAAAGGTTATACCCTGTGAGCATCCAGGAAAAATAGAAGAAACTTACCTTTGTTTCTTAAATATGTGAAACGCTCTGTCACTGGGGAAGTTGGAGCGATTATCAGTTTCTGGCTGAAAAGAAACAGACTGTACAGAGCATGGCAGCAGGAGAGACACCTGTTGAAAATATAAAGGCAGTCATTAAGATAATCGAAGTCTCTAAACAATCTGAGACCCAGAAAAAAGCAGGGAAAAGGCATGACGAGGAAACAAGTGTCACTAGCCTAGTTGGTCAGATATGCTACTTCCCAACTGCTAATTACTAGCAAACAACAACAGTTTTACAATCTACATTAGGGGACAGAGGCAGACTCACTCAACATTAGGAGAGAAATTATCTGGTCTCCTTAAATCTCTGCTGAACAGATTGCAACCAGTATTGACACAGTGTGGAAAGACCCATAAACAGTTGAGGCATATCTTCAATACAGGGCTTGAGAAAATTCAGGATCCTGGCTGGCAATTTCTGTTACCTTACTCTTTCTCCAATTAAAAATCCTGTTCTTCAAGTAACAAGATCTTAATTTACAACTTTAACAACTTTAAAGCTCAGCTTTAAAGCTGACGTGTCCCAGTCTCAGTACACTCTCTTTTCTTTGCTAAGAGTAATTTCTGTTTTTAAAAGATGGATGAAATGAGATACAAAATACATTTTTACCATCCAATTCCTACCAACCAAACTGGATCCCTAACCTAGTTGATCACACGAGGTAACCATTTTTCCCAGTCTGGATTGTCTCCCGTGAAATGTTGTTTGCCTAAAAGGAGTCCATATCTACAAAAGAAATCCACATCTTTGAAACTACCTTCTGATATTGCACCTAACTAATTATTCTCCTGGGATCCATGTTAATTAGGTGAGAATTTCAAAAGCAAAACTTGACCCTATCAAAGTCTCTGGCTGAGGTGAGGGCCTGGAGCACAACACAAGGCTAGCCAGCAGTGATTCACAGCTAACAATCACTGGACCCAGCAACTCACCCACCCACTGACAAGGAAAAAAAATAGCTTTTAGACAGTTTCTAAAGACAACACAACAACATGAAGTACAAGGAATGAGATTTAACATCAAAACCATTGCAAATAAAAGAACAGCAACACAAAGGTTTAAAGCAATGTCACTTTGGGTCTGCCCATTTTTACCTTGGCTGTGCTGCTTTCATAAGCCTGTCTGAGCCTCCTGTGCAAGGTGGGAGAAAACGATGCAATCCGTTCATTTTCAGCCAAAAGCTTCAGCATCCCCTTTTCTAAATGGGAAATAATTCTGCCAAGATAATAGGGATACAACTCAGAGAGACAGACAGACATAAACAACACATAATCCGTTCTAAAGAAATGCTTATGCTTCCATTTTATGATGCTGCCAAGTAAAGAGTTCTAAACAACATGGACCCAGCAGGAAATCCCACTGGTATCTGTATTTGTTTTCATTCTCATCTCATGACTTTCCTGTTCTTGCACAATTACAACAAAGTTCAGTGGACAGATCAGTGCAAGGAAACCCACAGACATTCAAATCTAGGTCAAGTTCTATGTTTTAAAGAAAATTAACAACTTTGTGCCTGTAACTGGTAAAGTTCTAAAACCCAAGACTTGCTTAATCCCACACACAACTGCAGATGAAAAAAAAATTCAACTCACTCATATTGATAATCCAAGACTCGAACAGCAAAATAAACACAGTTGTGCACACTTTCAAAATGCTGTCTCCCTGACACATCTAAGGGGAAAAAAGAAACATGAGACAACAGTACCTTTTACCATTTATAAACTAAAGGACCAACAATTAGCTTAAAAGGAAAGCAGGAACTGACATATCCAAAAATAATCTTCCACACTCCTATTAAATTTTCAGAAGTTCCCATTCCCTATCCTTCCTATACTAAAGGCAATTGAATTGTTTAATGCTTATGGGAAAGAAAATACTATTTCTCAGTGTTCTGAACAACAGTAAGCAGATATAGGACAAGAAAAGCAGACAACTACAATCAATCATAAAATGGTGCTCCCAAAGCTGAAGATTTAATGCTCCTAATCTCAGCCCAAAGAATCAATGAGTAGCAAAACAAAGGTCAATCAAATTGAGGCATGTGGGATGGAGGAGCATGTGGTGGGTCTCATTCTAAAGCCACTCTTTTGGTTTTTAACATCCATATCAAAGTACTAATTGCATCAAGCTTAAGGCTGAATTTGTCAAAAACCAAATGCAACTGGATCAGTTGCAACCAAACATGGCTGGATCCTGTGCACTCAGATCCAAACCTGAAGCTTAATAAACACACAGCAGGTCAACAGCACATTTGAGTTGCAGGATCAATGGAGAAGCAACTCAAGCACATCTGTCCTTCTCTCTAAAAGTCAAGTGTTAGGAAGTAGTTACAGCAAATCTTGCACAATAGCAGATAACAAGATTTAAACAATATCTAACCACCCCAGTCTATCCTACTGTAGGAGCACATCCCATACATGCATGGCTTCTGTCAACACCTCAGATGAGTCCCACAGTGGTAATAATGCATTTTTATGTAATTTAAGAATACCTGTCCAAGCTACTCTAGAACACCTTCTCATTCTAAGGAAGCAACATTCTTTCCTTTCATTACTACTGCTTACCTCGATCTCTTTCACTGATTTCAGGGTCACTATCCCCATCTTCTGCAGCAGAAGTGCCTTTAGATGTCAACAGTTGCAGAACAAAAAACAGTTCCAGAAAAATATTTGGTACCAGGTTTTCTGGGAAAGAGTAATTGAGATGTTAAAGGTAGATTATTCAATACTGTCCTGCTTTAATGCACACAGGTAAAAAGATAGATTCCTGCTCTGTGGTAGTCAGCAAAGAACTCTCTCTCCCCACAACACAATCACAGTCTAGATTAGCATGGGAAAGCTGTGTTAGGGAATAGCCTGGTTTCAGATGGGACATACAAACTTCAGTCTGCTGCAGCTCAGAGTACTGCAGCTGCCTCACCTCCTTCCCTAAACTTTCACCAAGTATTCATTTATTTTAATAACTGTGTTGGCGTAGTTCATTTTTCCAGATGTCATTTGTCCGTACACTATAACTATCCCACAGCTCCCCCTTCCCATCTACCTCCCTCTCACAACACACACACAAGTTCAAAGCTCAAAGAAAGGTCAGTCTCACATCTTCTGTGTCCTCACCTGCTATACACGAGGAATAGAGCTGTGCCAGACACTCCAACTGTTTCTTGCAGGAAACCTTAGCAGGATTTGCACAGGTCACCAGATGGCTTTCAGCAGGAAGGCTAGCACTGCGAGTGTAGCTAGGCTTAGCTGGAGTACCAGGATCAAAAGATATCCCTGCAGGAGAAGATGCCTGGTGCAGCAATTTGCATCTGAAATTCAAGAGCAGCAACACACCCATGTGATTGAGGATGATCTACAGCAGCCATGCAGCCAGAAGAGCTCTTTTCTTCCAGTGCAGCATGAAGGAAATCCTGTAATAACTAAACCATGTCATTTACACTGACTAAAGCAGCTTTTATCATGATAGTAATTTAAGTCATCTTTCACTTACTGAGAATAGATCTTGGGGTTAGCAACCAAAATACTCTAAAGAATCCCATTCAAATTCCAACTCTGTAAAAATAGTGCAGCATTTTGACCAAGTTAACCAACTAATCTATCTTACTGCTTCTCTCATCTGAACTGGCATTTGGTAAGGACGGGGAATCTGTTCGAGACCAGGTCCTAAAAATCTTCTTTGCATGTACAATTTCTGACAGCTAGGCATTTTAGAAAGTCTATGTAAATAAGGTGCACATCCATTCCTTTGGTACAGATGTGAAGTAATGACACTGAGAAGACCCAATACCACTTAAGTGGAAAGGCAATGCAACAGCTGATCAAATCCTGTACTGGCAAGTTGAACAACTGAAGGAACAACGTGGCAATGGATTTGAATAGTTTAGGCCATAGTTTATACCAGGTGCACCAGCCGAGCCACTTTTAGCTGGTTTTCTGCTGTTTTATCAAACACTCTGGAATTTGTCAAGGCTACTGAAACATAAATTGTGCTAAGCTGGGAGCGAAGAAGCCAAAAAACAGAATACCAAGATTAGAAGAACCAAGATAGAGGTGAGTGGTAAAGCACTGGACTGTAACCAATCCATTTCCTGCAAGGTGCGTGCAGAGCGCGTGGACAAGAGAGAGGCACCAATAAAATAATGTGTGATCACGTGGACAGCAGTTTCAGAATAGATAAGCAGAGCATAAGGTAAACAATAAACCAGCTTCTGCATAATCACACCAGTTAGCTGCTCAGAAGTCCTGAGCTCCTGCAGAACAAACTGCTTTGACTGCTGGATTCTAAATCAACGATGATCACTCGGTTAAACAGTCAGACATTTGTACAAAACCGTATCTGGAGAGGTCATCCAAAATGCAACACCAGAGTGGCATACATACACACATGAGAAACAGGACAAAAGGCAGTAACTGCAATATCAAATGACAGTCAAAGATTTCAATGGAACATTTACACTTGGAACATCTCACTACATCTTGCCACACCATCTCAAAAGTGAAAGATTTAAGCCGCTTTAAGGGCTCTGGAAGTCAGAAACATTTTTAGCTGCAGCTAAGAACTTTTTCTATTGGCCTATTTCTGCTGTGATGAAGAACAATTGGTCCCAAAATGGAAGTAGAAAGATTACCAACAGCTTCCTTGCAATGAACGTAACCAACCAACTGAAGAAAATTATTCATTAAGTACTTTGTGATCCCACCCAAAGGATAAGCCCACCATTATGTACTTTGTGACCTTACCCAAGGCAAGGTTGCAATAATGCAGTTAGACTCTGCTTCACTTCTGCCTCAGTGTTGTCATCTACCTCAGGATGAAATTCACCTTTTACCCTTGCTCAGAGGGACCCAGCTGGCTGAATGCTGCCTTACTTCTGTACCTCACATCACCAACACTGCTGAGGGCACAACAGCAGCTCCCAGCTTTCAAGTATGATGGGTCAGCTGAGAATATCACTTCATGGGCAAGATCCAGCCCACCACACACTGCCATTTCACTGACCTCAGCTGATACACACTATTGGGCCATTTCAGGTAGAATTCAGACTAGAATAGGTGCTAGACTAAAGTGCAGAGAAGCAAGTTTAAATCCTGAGGAGTTCTGCTGCAGGTTCAGTACAAGCAGTAATTCATTAGACTCTACTGCAGGTGTTTCAGTCAGTTCTGGTCCCACTGAACTGTAAAACTTAGCAGGAAAAGAATTACGTCCACGTGTCCTGAGGAGTTTCCCCAAGAACAAAACCTACAAAGAACAGCAACACTTCTGTCAGCAATTAGAAACAATAAACAACAGTGCAAACTACTGCACTTTGATTTCTAAGTATCAATCTTCACAGAGTAACAGTGATACCATTTTACAAGCAATGAAAGTAACACACTAACCAAACAGCAGAGACAGAACTAGAAGCTAGAATTCACCTCATCCGACAGCAATTTTCAACGGAAAACTGCAGTAGTAATCCTTAAAACAGAATCTCAAGTGCCCATGTCCTGTTTTCTCTGACTGCAAGCTTCATTAACACTTTCTACACATTTACATCACTAACTCATTTTCTCCAAACCAATGTGCCTTGGGGCAACCTTCAAACACAGTCTAATTACACCCAGTTGCTTCACCTGTGCAATCTAAGGAAAGATGCACAGGAGACAGCCACACACACAAGTCCATAAAGAGGAAATCTCATAAAAGCAATGAGGACTGACTACACTTTTGAAGTGAGGGTCATTGTTCCAGAGTCAGCACACCTCTAAAATGGCAAACATGAGCTAGGTGCATTAATATCATAGTCCGACAGCACAGACACCCTTGGCTTTAGGGAAATTATACTTTAGGTCACCAATATCTGTTTTGGATATTCTTCTGTCATTTTCACTTTGTCCTGATCATGCCCTTTCCTACCTACTGCAAAAATTAACCCCGTCCTGGCCAGAACCAGAACACAAGGGAATTAAGAATCACCCCCCCCCTGCTCAGACTGTACCGTTCTTTCTTCAGCATCTCCCTCTCCTCTTGAAGGCTGTTGCTTATCACAGATGAGAGGTTTCCTTCCTGGACAGCAGTAAAGGCCTCAGGGCTTGACCCAGCTGACCAGTGAGCAGCTGGGCAGCGGCTGACGGGTGTAGAAGTGAAACAGGTCTTTGGTTTTGAGAGGGGCCGCTCAGCACTCACAGGGGTTGGGTTGATTCGCCTCGATGGTTTGCTTTTGCTGAAAAAAAGAGAAGCAATTCCACTAAAATCAAGCTAAACAACAACAAAATATTTAGGTCTCAAGATATATGTGCAAACAACTCTTCAAGAGGAACCTAATGCTGAAACAAAATGGGTATCGAGTTGGGATACTGAATTTCTAAACTGTACCTACAGTTATCAATTTTATTCTGCCACTGAAAAAAAAAGTCATGGAGTTATAGCCTGCTAAAACCAACCTGCTGAACTGGCAGCAAAATTAATTCTCAAATATCAAGCCATTTAACAGATAATACAGTGCCACACAACCCTTCCAAATGTTTCTAATTTGATAGGACAGGATATGCCACATTTTAGTAAGAAACTGCTGGTGAATTCATTTCTAATATGACCACGAGAAAAAAAACAAAAAAACAAAACCAGAATCAACCAAGTTGGCATTGTCTATCAGTGAGAGTCCAGGTTTCCAAGTTACATTAAGTAACAGGGAAACCCATCCTTCCTGCATGAAATACTTGGATTGGTCCTTCAGGAAGAGATTTGGTAAAGTAGCAAAAAACACTAAAAAAATGGAAATGGCTACAGAAACATAAAACATCATGGAAATCCTGTTTGCTACATATTAACTGCTAAGGTGTTCTCAAAATCGCTGTAACATTGATTTCCAAAGACTTGTGACCTCTTTCCTCCTACTTTTTCGTAGTTGAGCATTAGTGCAATTGAGGAAGAGAGACTTGCTGCCTGTGCTGGAAACATACCTGATCTCCCTTGGTCAAAGCATCATCTAGAGCATCACCCCAGACCCTGCATTTGGATTTACTGTACAGACTCACATATTTTATAATTTTCAGCAGGAATTTTGCATGTCCAACTAGAAAGTCCCAATTTCAGAGACCAATGACTGACACATGGAGCAAACAGGCTGACACATAGGCTTTATATTTGGTAAGGAGGATTTTAAGGAGTAAAAGAGAAAGAATAAAGGACTGAGGCAACCACAGCCCAAACAGCTGTCCAGAAGCTTAGCCAAAGTCACCAAGGAGACCAGAGCTTGCTGCAGACCAAGGAGAATGCAGCCTGCTATTTTGTCCACAATTGCACAGCACAAACAAAGCTGCACACTAACATCTGCTACCAGAAGCCACAGAAAGTCAATCCAAAAGCTTTTTTTGCTAGCACCAGTACAGCTGAAGAGCCTTCCAGGACAGCTCTTCCTTACTGACTGATATTCTGTTAAATGAGAAACGTGAAGAGCCAAGGTAACACTGACTCGTTAGAACATGCAAGGACAAAGCTGTGCTCAGCTTTGTATCAGCTGGGCTGTGCACTGGAGAGCTGCAGGCAGCACCACCAGTGAGAGGCTAAAGTGGTGTCTTGGGTGAGTCCATGGAGGGGAAACCTGGCTCCCTGTCAAAGCCATATTCCCCCCCCCGCATGGTGACCAGAACAAAGCAGCTCTGACCACGCTGCCCAGAAGCCAGGTATTGTGTGTTACAGCCTCTTCTGCATCTGGACATGCACAACAGCTGGCCAAGGAGCTGCAACCTGCAGCACGATGCCAGTGAGACAGCGAGGCAGACTCGCTCTTACTTCGTCCAGCCAGAGGCAGCAGCCATGGGTGGAAACTCCTCCAAGTTGTTAAGGTTTAGCTGGCTGGGTGGGGATCTGGCAGAAACAAGAGGTGCTTCACTCCACTTCCTTCTCCCTCCACTCCACGATCCAGTGTCACTCTTCCCATCCTCCTCTTCAGCAAGGGAGTGCCCCAGCTCACGAGCTGCCTGCCGGCCAGAGGCACCGACCGAGCTGCTGCCTCTCCTCCGGCCCCGTCTCACGGGCACGGCTTCAGGCGTGGCCGTGAGGAAACTCCCCAGGCTGGCCTTCTGCAAGGACTTCTTCTCACCATGGTGGAGCACAGGGCTGTGCCCGAAGCTCGGGCTGCTGCTGGACACCACGCTGGGGAAATCGCCACAAGGGCTGGACAGGTTCGACCCAGAAAAGGAAGAGGAACCACTGGATGCTGCAGCAGGAGAAAAGCTGGTATCTGTGGAGCAGGTGGTCACTGAAGTCCTTTGAGAAAAGAGCTGCACTCGGCTGCTGGTAGCATGGCCTGTCCTCCTTTCTGATCCTGTCCTTTGGCTCCCATGGGCCTTGGAATTAGGAGTCTTAGCGGGAGTAGAGGGTCCATTAGTCAGGATCTGGCTGGTCTGCTCCCTTAAAAAATTTAGCAGAAAAGGCACAAAATCCTTCTGAAGCGAGGTAAGAGATGCCAGCTTGTCATGGATGTGGTTCTCCTACAAGAGAAGTAGACAAAAAATTAATATAAAGATGCTAACTGATTCTTTCTGTCCAAATATCTAGACAGATTTAAGTAGCAAAAAGTAGCAACTATGGGATTTCAATACAAAATAAAAACCAACATGACTTGTCAAAGTAGGTCACTGAAATTCAAGCAACCATAGTGCTGATCACAGACCTGAAAATCAGCCTACACACAAGCCATTTTGGCACAAGTTTTCAGATGGAGTCATTCACTTTGGTCTCTGACTGGAAAACAGCGGAACTGTCCCATGGAAACATCGGTAATACTCATGGAAGCTATGGCCGGGAGGACTTGGAGCAACTGACACCCCTAAGTTTAACATTTTGAAAACATCAATACTGAAAGCATCTAATTCTAACAGAAAAATCTAAAATTGCAAGGTCTCTGTGCCCTAATTTTCTGTGAATGCCACCTGCTCCCACAGAGGGGTGCTATAACAACAACCATTGAAGTACTTGGAGTCCTGCAGCGCCAAATACAAGACCAAAACTGCTCTTCCATTTCAATGAAATAATTTTGCTCAAGGCCTCACAGAGGTCTAAACAGAGCCTGGGCAACTTTAAGGTACATGAAGTTTATACTTGAGAAACTTAAACAAAAACCCCACCACTGACTCAACACACTTGACATGTAAACAAGTGGTGGTGATCTTACAAGGGTAAATTTAGACAAAGAAGTCTTCATGTTACGTGCACAGTTTGAAGTTTTGTACCCTGGGTAAAAACTCTTTTGTTCCTAACAATGCACCATGTTTCTGTTTCCTCTCAATGGGATTCAGCAACATTTGCAAAAACAGAAGTTCTCAAAGGCAGAAACTTTTCCCTTACTAATACTGAAAGCATTGCATACATACTCCAGTAAAGTTATATTCACAAACCTATTGAATGAACAGTCAAGAAAGCAAACACTGTTTCTGAAGGTGGTTTCTGCATGACAGAAAGCAGGGAAAGCATACCAGTAACTGGACTCACACAATCCTCAACACCAGTACTAAAATTCATGTTTGAAAGAGTGGGACCAATTCAGCTCCTTGGGAGAAGTGTGAGATTCTGACACAGCGTGGATAACAAGCTAAGCAGCCAACAATCAGTGAAAAAGCACAGGTCAGAATACAACCCCCGGGAGGTGTCAGAAGACCATCTCCAGCCCAAAACTGCCATGAGAGCTAGAGCAAGACATAGCCTAGCATTTCCTTCCCCTGGAATTAGTATAGGGGCACAAAGATGATTACAGTCTATGGTATGCATAAGGTTGGGTAGTTTCTCTAACTTTTCAGAGCACAACCTGTTTTCACTCATTTTTCTCTGTACAAGTTAACTGAGGTTTGGTTCCACCAAAACTGAGTAACAGCAACCTGTTAACATCTGCCAGCTGCAAACCTCCCACTTGCTTTCTCATGCTGAAGCAACTGCACTGCTCCCAACAGCAAAAGGCAGCAAGAAATATCCTTGCAAGGGCAAACTTTTTGACTTCCTCACCCACACAGTGCTAGCTGAGCTGCCAGGATCTCTAACCCTAACCCTAATGTCCGCAGGTCTGCTTCTGCAACTCACAGCTGAAGAAATACCACACAATATTAAAGTGCTGGTCTATTCTTCCCACCCGTTTCGGATGACGGCAGTACCCGACTAACTCATGTGTGTGACACCACTGAGTTTCGATTTTAATACTAGGTAACACTATGCGAGGGGCTCAGGTAGAAAATGCTTTAAATACCAATTGTTTCTCTGTGTGAAATATAAGCACTCCTAGTCCATCTACAGTTACAAACGTTTTTATTTCCAGAGGAACCCGAATCGTTAGTTACAAAACTCAGCCAAGACGCACTCTCTCGCAGCCCGCAAAGATCCTCCTCAGGGTCCAGGCGGGACGAGCATCCAGCCGGGTGCCGCGCTGGCGCCTGCACAGAGCCCCACCGAGCCCCGGGCGCTGACAGCCTCGTCCTTCTCTCACCGCTACCTTCCGCTACAAAGCCGCAGGAAGCGCCAGCCCTGCTGTCACCGCGGTCCCCGGACACCGGCTGTGCCCTGCGCTGGCACAGGGCAGCGCTGGCACACGGCAGCCCGGGCTCCCGGCGCTTCCCGCGCCCGCGGGGCCCCCCCGCTCCCGCCCCGGAGCCGCGCGGCGCCACCGCCCGCGGGAGACGGCCCGGCGCCGGCCGCAAGGAGCTCCGGCGGGCTCAGCCCGCGCATTCCGGCGGGTTTCGCACGCCCGCCGGGCAGATCCCGGCACGGCTCCCGGCACGGCTCCCCGCCGGCGGCCTCGCCTTTCCCGCCGCCGTGCCCGGAGCCCGCCCGCGCCGGGGGCGGTGCCGCCGGCTGTTCGATGGGAGCTCGGCCCCAGCCGCGGCCGCGCACGGCACCTGACGGGGCCTTGGGCTGACCCACGAGGGCTTCGCCGCTCACAGCAGCGCGGGGCGGGCGAACTTTCCCGCACGGCCCCGGCCCGCGGCAGCGGAGGGCGCTGGGGGAGTGGCGCGGTAGCGGGCCCGGCCCCGCCGGAGCCGGGGCGCTGCGGGCGGACCTAGCGCGCGTTACCTCAGCCGGGCGGTGGCCGGGGCCGTGCCGGAGCCACCGCACCACGGCGCTGACCGGCACCTCCTCCTGCAGCAGCAGCTCCAAAACCGCCGCCATTCCCGGCCCCGCTCCCGCCGAGCACGCGCACAACCCGCGCCGGGGGCGGGCCCGGCGTGTCCCCCCTTCCCGCGGGGGCGGCGCCGAGCGGGGATTCCCGCCGGGGAGGCGGGCGGGGGCCGCGCCCCCTCCCCATGTCAACACGCGGGGCACGGGGCGCCTGCGCCGGTCCGTGCGCGTCTTTTCCTCTCATGCGCGGTATTTCCTTCCCCAGCAGGGCTCGGGGCCCGGCCTAGCGGCGGCGGCAGCCGCGGGCCGGGGCGCAGGGAAGGGCAGCGGCGTCCCCTCCCTCCTCGCGGCTCCTCGCCCGCCCGCCCGCCCGCCCGCCGACACCCGCGGCGGAGGATGGCCGAGGACTCGCCCAAACGGCGCAAGGCGAATTTCAACGAGGCGGAGACGGAGGTGCTGATCGAGCAGGTGCTGAAGCACGAGCAGCTGCTGTTCGCGGCGGGACCCGGCCGCGCCTCCGCGGGCCAGAAGCGGAAGGTGTGGGAACTGATCCGGCACAAGGTGAACCCGGTGGCCGCCTGCCCCCGCGACGTGGAGGACCTGAAGAAGCGCTGGCGGGACCTGAAGCGGCGCGACCGCAGCAAGCTGTGCCGCCTCTCGCAGGGCTGCGGGCCGCCGGCGCCCCCCGCCCTCGGCCTCCTCCTGGCCCCCGAGGAGCTGCCGCCCGCCGCCGCGCCGCCCGCCCGCCGCCAGCGCCGCGCCTACGGCTCCCTGCTGCCCGCCGAGGCCGTGCCCATCGTGGGCGGCATCGACACGCTGGAGCTGCCCGGCGCCGTCGTGGGGGACATTGGTGAGTGCGGGAGCGACCCCCGCGGCGCCGTCCCGGAGCCTCCGCCCGGCGCCCCCCGCCGCAGCCGCGGGAGCCCCGGTGCGCGGGGGAGCGGCGCTGCCCCGTGCGTGCGCGCAGGGGACCGACCGCAGGAAAGCTCTGGCTCGGATCCTTGCAGAGGCAAAACGTATATGCACGCACACAGAACTGTGAGGCTTCGTGCTCTAGGTCATAGAAGTGCCTGAGAACAGCACCCAAGAGTAAAAAACGCGTCTCGTAGCAGATGCTGCCCATCCACGAGCCGTTAGACCCGGCCACCGATCTTCAGTATTGCAGTAATTATTCTTTCAAATACAAAAAGCCATGACAGCACGCAGGTCCAACCAGTACGGTAGATGCCAGAGATACTGTCCTAGCACGCTAGAATACCAAGGGATTCTTGCAATCACAGTGTTTCAGCAATGCTCTTACTGTTCACTGCATGCACGATAGAGCACTAAATGAGCTCGTAGTGAACTTTGTCTCTGGGATCCTAAAGCTTGGCTTCTGTGGTGGTAAGGGAGCTGTAATTTTCAGATACATGATTAGCTGGTGAATGCGTATTTATGGTTTTCTTACCACCTGTCGAGGTAATTTGTATTCTAAAACCATCAAAGATAACACAGGGTGAGTTTGAGTCTTGTTTCAAGGACTAATGTTAGTCCTTAGTGGATGAGAAAATATGTCACCCCTGAGGTTATGAAGGTTTCTCATGGGCTTTACTTTGCTTTTCTTCCCCCACCCCTTCTAGGGTTTAATGGCAGTCCTGGCCCATCTCATCAATCCAGTCTTGAGCAGATGAACCTCAAAGAAGAAATAGTAGTGAAGGTGGTAGAGCCAGAAGAAAGCTCTGAGGACATGGTAGTGGTTCCACCTAGTCAAGAACAACTGCCTTTTCTGGGGACATCAGGTGGTGGTTCCTCTGGGAAAGTAAAAGCCAAAACAAAAAGTAGATCCCAGGCAGACCAAAATGAAATGACTGAAGAAGACCTACTGCAGATTCAGCAGACCCAAATACAGGTGATCCAGTCTGGCTTTGACAGTGTCAACCACAATCTTCGGCTGCTGCAGCAAGGCATGCAAGACCTGAGTAACAGCATCAGCATCATGGCACATACACTTGTTGCTATCAAGAACGTCTATGTGAAAAACAACACTGGCCCAACCACACATGCCACTGCATCTACTCAGACCACAGCTGGGTACCTGAGCCCAGGATCCCCGCAGCTCTCCCCTGCTAAGGACAGAGCCAGAGCACAGGTGGCTGGAAGCAGCAGCAGAAGCAGCAGCTGCAGCTCCAGCTCCATGTCACAAGAACCAGGTCCTTCCGAGTTTCCTAGGCCCCCCCTGAGAACCATTAAGAAAGAACATCCAAATGGCTGCTACTACTTCTGCTTTGCAGATGTGTAAAAACTTGAATAGATGTAAAATGACTGTGTTGTTGGGTGCTGATGTATGTTCTGCTCCAGCCTGTGACTTTGAAGGAGCGAAGTGGACTTGCCGCCCAAGTTTTTCCCAGTGGGAAACATTTTGCTATAGGTGGCATTAAACACTAATTACCAGTCTCCAGTTAACTCTGTTGCAGTTGGCTAATAAATTTCTTCTCTTTTCTTTATTGTCTTATTCTTTTAAAAAAACAAACATTTATTTTTACTACGACTTTTGTCTGTATTGTCCTTTGTTTAATGTCACCTTGTGAAAAATAAAAGGCATGAGAGTGGGGTAAAAAAGTAACATTATGGTTGCTACTGCCAGGAGCTATCTTACACGAATTACTTGGTTCTTGGATTAACAAACCTCAAAGTAGCTGTTTTTTTAAGTACTTCCCTTTTCTAATAGTTATAATGTTGGAGGTGTTTGCTTGGTTGTTGTGGTAGAGTTTTTTTAAGTCTGAGCTGTGGAAAGCATCACAGGAGGAGTTTGAGATACTTGAGATAGTTGCTTATTCTAGGAATGGTTTCGAACTGAGGCATTCATGAGTGTCCTCCTCAGAATTCACACAGCATTGTTGCATTTGGCTGTTGTTCATTCCCAGCTTGTCAAATACACTTTCTCTTCAGAGACACTGTTTTACTGCACTAGCAGGGTAGTCTCTTTTTTTTGTCACATTGTTAAAATAGAGAAATACAGAAAAATGAGGAATAAATGAGCGATGCCTGTTTCTGACATATAGGTTATATGTAGGCTTTATCTTAATTTTGTAAGCCGTATGGAATCAATACCACAGTATTTGAAATACAGAGAAAAAAAAGCTTTGTATTGTTTTATATGAAATGGAAGTCAGATATTCTGTAAAATTACAGGAGGCAGGGGCTCACTTCATTCTGGACAAGTGCTCCTGCATAGTTGAGGAAACTTTCATTATCATTTCCTTTCTTGCAACTATATATCCAAAGAAGAAGAAAGACGAGGAAGAGTTGGAGCAAAATGTAACCTGGTGTCAACTCTGAAACGAAAAATAGCCATTTTCCATTTAGATAGGGAAAACTATTATCACTGACACTATTTTAAGTTGTGTTTCAGGCTTATATATTAGAGCCCCTCTACTTTACGCAATTCAAAAGTAGCAGAGGTGCAATGTTCTTATATCTGGCATCTGCACCAGAGGGCAAACAAAAACACTCACCTGAAATTTTGTCCAGTGATTTGAAAAACCATACAGGTTCTCTTCTTAAGCATTTATCACCAACACTAAAAAAAGTACTACAGATAAATTTGGTCTATAGCAATGATTAGCTGCCTATAGTGTTACAGTCAGTTTTGCACAAGCATTCCTGCTGCAGGAATTTAGCAAATACAAATAACATAGAGAATCACAATTAAAATATCCCTCTCCTAGAAGCATAAGAATATGTAATCATAGCATAAGGTGTGCCACTTTTGCAGTCAGCTTTGACTGAATACCACCAGATGAAAATGTACTTCATTTCTGCCCTTACACCATTTTGGTGTACTGAATTAACTCACTTCAAAAACCAGCCACTGCTGCTTACTAAAATGTGAATCCAGAGTAATCAGTCGTTAGCAAGCATTTCCCTTCACTATCACAGATGGAGTAAAGTATGCAAATATCTCACAAACACAAAATGTATGCATGTACAGCACAATGTTAATTGGGATTAATGCCTTGAAGAAGAGAGTTTTCCAGGTTTATGCTAACAAAAGAAGATGGTATGGGTGACAGGTATTAAGAAATTGCTGAATTTAAGAATGACAAAGAATTAATCCTTCTAAATCAGATTTGTGGCTATGTTGTTAAAAGCTTTCCAAATTAACCTGTTGGAAGTATTATTTCTCCCCTATCAGTACAGATGGGCTCTCTTGAGCAGGGTTTTCTGCATTTTGTTTTCATGGGCAAAGAAGCTAATTCACACTACCATGACATTCCAGGTAGATTAGCAAATGTGATCTACCTGGTCCTTCTGGGCAGGAATTTGATCTTGTCCAGGTTGCAACTGGTAGTTCTTACCTGTCTTTTGATGTTTCAGTTATTTTTGCAACTGTTAATTCTTGAATTTCACATACTACAGCATTTCTTGGGAGAGTTGACTTGTGTTTGCTTTCTCATGTTCCAGTAGTGATTTACATGAGAGGCAGCTACAGTGTGAGTAGAGAAATGCAGCAAGATCCTGTGAGCAGAATGGGCAGACTGGATCTCCTGTATGAATGAAGACAAGCCAGGCAATGCTAAAAGACACTGTGGTGGTCAGACAACAACCATCAATCTCAACATCAATCTACCACAGCATATTTGTTCTGATCTTGCTTCTTTCCCTGTGTTTCAGTCATACCACTAAAAATACTGGAGCCAGATGAAAATCACTCTTCCACTTCTGATACATTCTAGATTTATGTATTTTAACAAGGAAAGAAATTGAGCTACTTCTCATCACTACAGAGTGGGCAAAATTATTATTATTTTCATCTTCAAATTAATACAATTGGTTGCTATTTCTTTATACACCCTTTCTGTGATGAAATTATGTTTGTGTTGGGTGCACCATCCAGAAGCCGTGCCATTAAGTTTCTGGCTGCTCTTAACAGAAGGTGAAACAGAATTTTCTTGTACTGCTACTGAGTAAATGAATTCCCAATTTGTTTCCTGTCCTGTGAAGCTATCTAGGCTGTTTGTATAAATGACAAGAGCTAATGACCTGGTCACGAAGCTTAATGAAATACTGCC